GCTATTATGAACTGTGCTGCTATAAACACGGATGTGCGTGGATCATTGTAACATGATGTCTTTAATTTTCTGGAAGATGCCTAGAAGGGGCGTAACTGAGTAAGGGTAAATGTGATTCAATTCAGGGCATTGAGGCATCCACAACAGTACAACTATAGACACCCAGAAATGATAACTTTACTGAATAATTGCTTCAGAAAGTGGTACAAACAATGGGGTGAAGGTGTTCAAAATGAGGAGTGGTTTGAGGGCGTTGATGGCAATGCATCTCGCCTGCACTTTCTTGAGCTTGGCTGATAGCACAGTGGTGAGAAGCCCTGAGCCCAGGCACAGAGTGGAACCCCTCTCTTCACCACTCTGTGGCAGCCCGAGGGAGGCTACACGGTCAGTGGTTGGAGAGCTGCTCACCACTTCAGTCTGGAAGCTCCCTTCCCATGGTAAAAGGGCACATTCAGTTGTGGTGGAAAAGGAAAAGCTAGACTGGAGAGAAGTAATTTGGCTCATTGGTTATAGCATTGAATTTGGGTAGCAGAGAGGCTCCAGTGCGTACGAGATGAGGTTCCTGAACGCCAGCCCCAAATGTTCTGACCCAACAGATGTGGGTTGTGCTAGAGAATCTGGATTTCTATCAGGTGTTGATTTCAGGTCCAAGAGTCCAAGAAGCCAGGTTGAGGAATAATGCCTCTATTGTGCCCTATCTCCTTGCTTCACTTTCACCCACTCAGAGTTGGGTGTGCCTCACACAATAGGCCAAGGTGATGCCAGCGTGTTCCTGGGCTCCACACTGGTGTGCTGCCATGTCGTAATGCCTGCATCTCTGAGTTCACTCCATGTTGCCCCATCCCCTCACACACACACGTACTGGGTGTGATCATTAACTGTTGTGTCAATTTGAGTAAGAAACACCCAACTGACTGGCCTAGCATAGTTCTGGATGTGGATGAAAGGACTTCCTCAGAAGCACAAGACTCAACCTGGGTGTGAGTGGCACCAACCAGCAGGCTTGTGGCTTGAATGGAATAGAAAGGAAAAAAGAAAACATCCCTATTGTTTCTTTGGAGGAGCTCAGTCTTTGCCTTCTCCTTGTACATTCATCTTCTGGCTTCCAACACAGACTCCAGCTTCCTGACTCAGACTGGCACAGAATGCTACAGTGAGCTCCAGGCTTGTAAACTCTGACAGCCAGCCTGTTTGTACTCCACATCTGATTCTGTGAGCAGCCACTATAAGCCCACCTGGTAAACCTATATGCATTATTATAACTTACATTAAATCTGTTTCTTTAGTGAGCACTGACTGATAGACTAGAGAAAAAACCCTAGCTCATTGCATTGAGCTGTGTCTCCAGCCCTTTTTTATATTTTATTTTGAGACATGGTCTTGCTAAGTGTCTAAGTTCCCCATGCTGGGTTCAAATTCCTGATCTTCATGCTTCAGCCTCCCAAAGCACTGGGATTTTCAGAGTGCTGCTGCCTGAAAACATTGTCCTCTTACAAAACACACACACAACCCAAAACAATTCAGCTCAGCAAATGTTTATTGGGCACCTACAAAAGGCAAGGCACAGTGCAGCGTGTTAAGGGGCACAAAGGTGGGAAGGCCAGGCATCCCCCTTGAGGAGCATATACTCTAGTGAAGAGAGACAACCTCATGGGTAACAAAAATGCAAAACAGAAGGATGTGAGCTCTGTGACCAGGGAGAGCAACCATTGAGGAAAGGTGCGTTTCACCAGCTGCATGGATTCACAAGCATTGCTCCCACAGGACCCCAGAGGGGTGGACAGAGTCACACTGGTGAAGTGGGGAGGGAGGGCCATTCCAGGGACTGGCAGAGGCATCCAGAAGGGAAAGGGCAGTGACTAGGAATGCTCTGGTGGAACAAGAAGTAAAGGTTGATACAGGGAGCTGAAGCCCAGAAAAGGGTGGGAGCAGAGCCAGGGAGGGAGGTGGCCTCATCCCCTCAACTACAGACACACTACTGTAGCACATGATCAATTGTATCATCTCATCAGCTTTCCAGGGGAAGGAAACCAAGAAGTGATGGGTGAAGTTTCACCACATCTAACAATGGCAGGGTTGAACCCAGAGAAAATGGGATTGCAGAGGAATATGGCAGGGAGATGGGAGTGGGTGTGTTTGGCATTCCCCTGCAACACCCCACCTCCAGAAGGACTTCCAGGACAAGTGGACCCTGGAGACCCCAGTCAGCAGATGGGGTTTTTCAGCACTGCACACGTCCAGGGTCCTCTGCCAACACAGGCTGCTCAGCTTCTTCCTAGCTGTCCAAAGGAGAGGGAGAGTGGCGCCCACTCCCACTCGGACCACCCCAGCCTGGGAAGGGATGCGAGGCCACTGCCGTCCAGGTAGACACTGCGATGCTGGTGAGTGCAGGCTCTCCCAGAACCTCCACACCTGCTGAAGCTGGTGCCTGCGTGGGCAGCCCTGAAGGAGGTGAAGTCACAGCTGGGTTTCCAAGGAGAAATGCCCCAGGGCTGCTGGCATGCATCTCGGGGGCTGAGCCTGCAGGACCTCCACCTCCATTGCTGATGGTCCACAGGCACGGATAAGGGCTGCAAGACACACATAGAGAGAGGATTTTGATGATGCTTTAAGGAAGCAGTGCCAGCTGCTAAACAGGGACATGGTACACAGAAGGGCAGGGGTAAAAGAGGGCTGTCCTGCTAGCTAGACACAGACAGGCTCTGCTCCAATAGAAAAGCTGAGAGGAGCAGCTAGGTACGGCAGGAAAGACCAAGACTGCCTATTCTGTGACCTGAATGCCGGCGCTGGCCCTGCCACTAACAATTTACTATTTTAAACACAGCATTTCACTTCCCTGGAAAATTGCCCTTCCTGACCATATAAATCAGGAAAAGCGGTGAAAGGAACATATCTTGAACCATGTGATCTGTGAGTTTGGTCTCTTTCTGGCCAACAGAGGCATAAAAACTGAGACATTGGTGTCAAAAGCCCTGAGTTTCAGTCCATCTCTACCACTTATTAGTTCTGTGATCTCTGTCAAGTTAGTTCATATCTGAGTCTTAAGCTTCTTCAAGATCTGGAGTCATATTTTATAGACCTTCGTGACTGCTATGATGGCAAAATAAGAGGGTGAGGGTATGGTTCTCAGCAGGTGGCACTCAGTAAATGGATGTTATAATTCTCCCGTCCCTGACCTCCACCTGCTAGCTCTGACACCTGCCATAAAAGCAAGGCCACTTTCTTCATCTTCTCCACTTCCGTTGCACTGGTTGCCAAACTTGGTGACATCCTGGAACCATTTAGTGTGTTTAAAAACAAAGGCTTGAGAGGATAAAGTCCTGGACCCCAGAAGTCTCAGCTGGGCACTGGTGGCCCTTAATCTCAGCTTGTGGGGATGCTATTATAGTTCATTCTTAAGGGCAGAGAATGTGGTAACAGGAATTGGATAGACCTGGGTCACAGGGAGCCAGTCTCTCTGCCTGAGTCTCACATGTGAGCCAGAGACGGGAAGTTTCACCATGTCTAACAATGGCAGGGTCAGGCCCAGAGAAAACAGGAGTTCAGAGAATAATAGTAGGGAGATGTGAGCGGGTGAGATGGGTGTGCTCCCGCAACACCCCATCTCCAGAAGGACTTCCAGGACAAGCAGACCCAGGAGGCCCTGGCCCAGGCCTAGGGCCAGCTTCTGGTACACATTAAATTATAAGAACTGCACTGTGCACCAAAATCCTTCACATTCTCCTACTTTCTCTAGACCTACAAATCATTGTTATCATCTGATGTCTCCTGAGACACCATTGTGAAGCCCTTTTGCATCTTCCAAAATTCTGCATGTGCCTATTGAACATGATAGCTTAGCAGTCACCACAGTTTAGACTGAGACACACTTGGAAAAGATTACACTTGAGTGCTCAGGAGTACGGGAAGCCTCCAGGACCACAAGTGAGCAAGTCACTGGTGTCAGTCTTACCTGGGCCCTGGATTGATTGGTCCACTGGTGTGGGGTACAGACAGGATGCTGGCGTGGGGAGGAGAGGACAAGGAATTCCAGCTGTCAGGTCCTGAGAAGACTTGCAGGTTACTGTTTGAACTTTCTATCAAGTTCACTTCAGGAAAAATAACAACAGTTCAAGTGACAAGGCATGCAAAACTTATAAAGGCAATGACCTTTAGAACTCATACAGGCAATGACCAGCAACATGATCCAAGGACAAACCATAACAATGGCCGGTCTACAAGCACCAGCAATTTGCTAGTTCTTTTGGAGGGAAACATAAAAGAGGAAAGAGCTTTGTTTGGCTCAGGGAAGTGCACCTCTATGCCAGGCACTGCTCACCATCCACAGTCTTCACAACTTCGCATCTCTGGCTCACATATGAGGCTCAGGTAGGAAGACTGATTGGCACCCTGTGAACCAGGTTTATCCAACTCCTGTTGCCACATTCACTGCCCTTAAGAATAAACTATAATAGTATCCCCACAAGCTGAGATTAAGGGCCACCAGTGCCCAGCTGAGACTCTTGGGGTCCAGGACTTTATCCTCTCAAATGGACTTAAACATCTCAGGAATGGTGTCTTCTCATAGGAAGAAAAGGACCACAGGATCTCATTTGTGTGTGGAATCTGGGAAAGCTGAATTCACAGAAGCAGAGAGTGGAACAGCGGAGAGGGCGTGGTGAGGAGCTTGGGTCAAAAGACTCAATGATGCCTTGATGAGTAAGTCTATGGATCTACTATGCAGCATGAAGAATATAGTTAATAATATAGTTAAAACAGTTATTAATAATAATATAGTTAATAATAATATTGTATTGTATAATTAAATTCTTCTATGAAAGTGGGTTTCAGGTGCTCTTACCTAAAAAGAAAATTATGAGAAGATGGAAATACTTGACTGTAAGAGTAATCTCAACAAATAGATAGGTAGGTAGGTAGATAGATAGACAGAGAGACAGACCATGTTGTACACATAAATGGAGGGAAAGGAATAGCATTTTCTATTTATTTGAACCTCTATGTGCATAAATAGTCATATAAAGAAAGAGAAAAAAAGAAAAGAGAGAAAAGAAGAAGAAAGGGAAGGAAGAAAGAGGAGGAAGATCCCAATGCACATCCCTGGTGCTGTGGTTTGAATGTGTCCCCGTACTAGAAACTTAATCCCCAAGGAAACAACGCTGAGAGGAAGGACCCTTAGGAGCCCATTGGTGGACTAGTGATCCTCTTTTAGGTATGAGCATGGGAGTGAGTTTCATATAAAAGGATGAAGTCAGCCCCCTCCATCTCTCTGCCATTCATGAGCTGCCTTCCATTCTACACCCAGCAAGAAGGTCCTGAGCAAATGCCAATCCTTTGATCTTAGACTTCTTCGCTACCAGAACTGTGTTCCTTACCAACTACTCCATCTCCATGCTGTGACAGCAGCACAAAGTGAAAAAGACCCCGGCCATGTCGCTTCTCTCTATGATGAGGCATTTGCCACCTCTACAGCCGCAGCGCCCACATCTCCCAACACCCCCATTCTTCCACATTCCATTTCCAGTCTGTTCCCAGAAAACCCAGGCTCTTTCATCCCCTGCATCTTCACTCCCTCCACCTGGGACACCCACACCTCTGCCTGTGTCACTCGCTGTCCATCTGCCCCTCCTGCCCACGCCTTGCTGTCCTTTCCTATTCGTCCTTCCAGGCCCAGCTGAAACACTGACCCCAGCGCAGCTTCTCCAACCCACCAAGCAAGTCTAGTTGCTCTTTTTTCATTCCCTCGGCGCCCTGACTTATGTGTGCTCTAGAATATTTCTCAAGCCTTAATGTGCCTCTGGGCCACTTGGGAATGTACACTCTGGCCTGGGAGCAAAACCTGAGAGTCAAGAGCTCTAACAAGTTCCCAGGTGGTGCTGCAGGCCCGCAGCCCACACCAGAGAACTCATGCACTATGTGATGATTAATTACATATGTATTTGTGTAGCCCCAAGAGCCTCCTGGGAAGAATCCACAAGGGGTAACCAAAATATATGGTAAATGTTTAAGCTTATAATAGTAAAAGACACATGGCAGCAATCCCCCTCAAAATACTGCATTTCATTTCAAATACATTTATCCCAGCATTCTTGTCACTTTATTTTTTTTTCTTGCCACTTTCTAAAGTTCTAGAAGCTCTCTTTCATGAAGGTGTTTACAGAGTGTGATTTAAAAAAAAAAATACAGTGGAGATTGCTGCTGAGTGCCATTCAACAGAAAGGCAAGCTTGTAAAAGCATCACTGTGTCCTCATCCACCTTTTTCACCAAAGCTAATGCCATATAACCCCTAGCTCTTCCATAAAATCTAAAGGCAAAATGTTCTGAATAAATTCAGAACATCATAGCGTCACAGCCAGCACAAGGCAGCTAACTCCCTGTACCCCTTTGCCAGCCCGACCCATCCCCAGGGCTTAATTACCAAAGCCACACACACCTGAGGGAGAATGGCTCCTGTGCACGTAGGCCGGGGGGTAGGGCACCTGGCGGCGTCCTCGGAGGCCAGCGTAGTGCTCACAGCCGTGGTGTGTGTGTGGGGTGGGCAGAGGCAGAGGACCTGCGTACTGGTAGCTGCTGTTGCCTGCTGTGCACATACCATCTGGGTTGGAAAAGATCCAGCCTCCCACTAGGACAGACAGAGGAAGGCAAAGTCAGGTGGTCAGTTACCTTGCACAGCTGTTGCTTGTGAGTGACGGTGATACCTGCCCAGTCAGAGATACCTCCATCCCACCACTGATTCCCTTCATGAGCAGGTGGCCTGTAGGTAGACCATAGGTAGAGATCCTAACAGAGTGCGGGATGCCTCTTAGTGCAGTCTCCTAGTTTCTAAAGATAAGGGAATACACCATCCTGGGGTGCTGGTATATAAGGAGTTTCAGGCTGATCTCTAAAAGCCAAATCATCCTATGAACACACTCAGCCACCTTATCTTTGACAAAGGGGCTAAACATACTCATTGGAAGAAAGATAGCCTCTTTAACAAATGGTGCTGGAAAAACTGGCTCTCTACATGCCAAAAAC